CGTGTTCTGTAAGACAAATGTTCTTATGAGCAGGGAGGACACCTGTATTTTACGATTTTAAAGACTATTATACATGCTACGATTGAATATCTGTTCAAAAAATCTGTTTTTCCGTTAATCAGCTGTCACCCCCATACGAACGACAACCCTCAAACTTGTGCGAGCTAAGGACTAACGAAGTCTTACCTTTCAACGTGTGATTCCTCAACCACTACAAATCTGCTAATTTGGGTGAAATTTTAGATACTTTCCTATTACCGATTATATCAATCTCATGCAAGAATTTTGAACTTTCTGAATGATCACGTGAATGATCACATCACGGTGATTGGAATTTGATTAAACTAATGAATCAAATAGCATTTTCTTAACATCTACATTGACATATCGAGTGTGGGGAGAAATAAACAACAGAGATAGATAAGCAATTTCAATTTAATAGGTTACATGAAATTTAAGTTTATTATCTAAAACTAACCCGAAATTTTATAAATTCAGACTAAATTGTATGTCAGTATTTTCCATTCTCAAGCTGTAGTATTTTGTGTTTTTTTCTAATACTATCACTTCCAAAAATAATAGATACTGACATATTTGAATTGATTTTCAACAGTAAATATTCCTGAAATTGTATTCAAATCAAAATTCATAATTCAGCTTCTCGATTAATGTAACTTCCAAGGTAATTTCCACCACAAATTTCGCAAGTTTTGGTTTTATCCAAAATCTAAATGTTGAACTTTCAACATACTTTTATTTTTTGTAAAAAGTTCATGTTTACAAACAAATTATTAATGTACCATGATGTACCCATTGTTATGGTTTAATAATAAACTGAAACAGCGGGTTGAATTGAAACAGTTTTGTCTGATCTCTGATCCTGGCTTCACCATATTCGTCTTCGAAAATATACAATTGGGCCACCAAAAACTCAACCACATTGTTCAGAATGTTGAAACTTATGAAGATAATATTAGGAAGTATTTTCAAATATTGAAATGTATGGGAACATTGACTAGATGCATACTTAAATTCAGCGACTGACCGTAATTAAAATTTTCTTTCCTCCTAAAGTCACTAATGTATTGTACTTTATGTGCACCAGCCAATGTTATCATTAAGAACATAACTTTTTCCTTTGCCGGTGGTCACTAGATATTTAAAAGAGCGGTTGCGAGATAGAAATTAAAATATATGCCAGCTTCAACATAAAACCAGACTATTCTGCATGATATTTTCGGTTTAATGTCTACTTAGTAATATAAACAAAACTCAGTGTATTTTTATTTCTTGGAAATGGCGTAATGCAATAACATGGCTTATTCAACAGATGATTTAACCCGATTACACATGTTAGATCCAAGAATAGAATCAGAAATACATTACTATATCAAAAAAAATTGGTTGACTCGATTCATTAGTATGTCCCTAGCAATAAAAATCAATGGAAGGGGTAACTTCAATTATGAAGTACATCTAAATAATGAATTTAAATTAAAATTTCCTTGTGAAGACACATAGGGAATTTGTTTCAGAGTATTTATTATAAAGGGAATATGATGATGGGAAAGATAAGGGATATCTGATTTGAATGATCGTATCGATCATATTGGAAACTGTAATATATAAATCAAAAAGTTTTGAGACATGCCTACCGTTCAAACATCTGAAAAATTTATATTCTGTTTTTTGTTTGTCGGTCAAACGCTACAAATATGTGTGAAGTTACTAGAAGTAATCGGAAAAAATGTAGATATTTTTCTGAACCGAATCAGTTTTCCCAATCTCTGATAATGCTGTTGGGCAGCGGTAACCACCAGAAATGCAATACTTTTCTCGACGAGCTTTTAACCAACCGAATTGGTGGTAGTTTTTTTTCATCTCCTGAAGGAGTCAGCTTGGTTGGTGAAACGCGCGTCGAGAATAGTATTGCATTTCTGGTGATTAGGAAAAGTTCTTGTTTTTGGACTACGCTAGTTCCCAGTTCTATCTTTTAATAATTGAAAATGATCTTCTGCAGGGTAATCAAAGATTTCTGGGTGGATTAAAAATCAAAAACATTTTTTAAAGGAATACTCTTTTTTAGACACTTGTATTTCACTTTCTGTGAATATCGGGTTATATATTAAGCGGTTCGTTGGTTATAACAAAATAAATGTTATGTTTTCAATATAAAAGTTCTCCAACAAAAATTTGCATCAGAATTTCTAGATAAATTTGATTTTCTCTAGACCAATCCTATCAGGAATACGAGAATGAATTCAAGTGGTCTCACAAACATGCGGGATGAAGAAAGGGTGCAATTGCATAATCAATGTGAATACTAGGTTAGGTTGGGTTAGGTCCAAATTGAGTGGATCTACTCGACCCTCCATCGCAACCCGCAACGGTTTATTGTGGCTCACACCTATTCACACTCGGCCAAATAAACCCAGCTTCTTAACGAAGCCGATTAGTTTGTATAGTGAGTGGTCTTTCAGGTCAGATGGTAAGAGTTTGGCTCTGCCGAACTCTAAAGACCTGATTCGGTTCCCAGCGGGGCAGGCATAAAGTATATGCTCTGTTAAAGAGGTAGTTGGATAGTCAAGTTGCAAGAATCCCACCTTCAGCTTCACCTGACGATGCCCTAGATTCAGACGTACAGGGCTTTTTCGCCTCTGATTTTGGTGAATCATCACTTGAGCGCAAACGTTTACTAACCTGCTCATGGGGGGGTTTATTCCCCCACCTGAGACAGATTCTGCGTACGCCGCTCATGAATTTGGTGCAAGGCGGTTTTATAAGGTACCCCGCTCTTGAGAAGACGACTCAGTCGTTTCTTGGCTGCACCAAAAAACCTTTTTTTTTAAGGTTCAGTTGTTGGATCAGGAGTTGGGGAGTTGAGAAGCTCTCGCTCCTCAACTGAATTTACAGGGAGGTCTGTTGGAGTCGTAAACTAGACATCCATCTCCTCTGTAGACTCGATCCTGAACTAAATTTACAGGGAGGTCCGTTGGAGTCGTAAATCGGCATCCGTATCCTCTGTAGAGTCGCTTCTGAACTAAATTTACAGGAAGGTCAGTTGGAGTCGTAAACTCGACATCCATCTCCTCTGTAGACTCGTTCCTGATCTATGTTTACAGGGAGGTCAGTTGGAGTCGTAAACTCGACATCCATCTCCTCTATGGACTCAGCTTCAGAAAGAATTTTTAAGTTTACTCTGTCCAGTCAATCACGGCAGAGCCCCGCATTACCGTGACAAGGCGATGCTACGACGAGGTTCCGTAGAGACAGCTGAATGGCTCAGTGTCATTCATCCTCTCGGCACGGATACATACACCTTAGGATTCAGCCATCGTTGGGATGCCATTCAGTTAGGGAATAACAGAACCACAAGCGATTCTATCATTTCCGTATCCAGCGGGGCTACGTGGAAGCGGGCATCCGATGGCAGGTTTGCTCAACCCCCACATCCCATGCCAATGCAAAAACAGTATGCACAATGGTTCAGGCAGTGAAAGATGAGCAAGGACAGCCAACCCGCCAATATGAATACTAACTTATACTTGATATGAACTAGGGACATACTATTAATAATTATTCCATTAATACCTCTCTGAAAATATTTCTGTTAATGAATTAATGTGTGTAACGAGTTGATCTATTCATTGTTTACTGTGCGTTTTCTCTACATAAAAGAAGTTCAATTTCTTGAAAGAATTACTTGCTGGCAACGAAACAGGCACTACACTGAATAATGTCAGGTAGATATAGAAAAAAGTAGGTTGAATAAAATGATCTTATTCTAACTGAAGCAGGGCAAACTGGCGTTGATAGCGTTGTATTACATCTGGCTCATCAGTTATCCCTGCCACAAATGGAAAATAGTTTCTATATCTAGGTTCATTATATTTTTTTTTGCATAGTTGATCTAACTGTAATTGAATTCTAATACAGAATACTCGAAATTACAGAAATGAGTTGTACATTCAATAAATTGAAGCAATTATAAATAAGTCGTGACAAGGTTTCAGTTAAAATATTGTACTTTGCAGGAAACACTTCAGTTTGAGCCAAAACACTATAATTTGAGAAAGAAATAGAGTGGTAACTGGAGGTGGAGTCAACACTTTTTTCACATCTTTAACTGAATAAGTTGATGAGATAAATTTTCTTAAAATCATTTCCTCCATTTTGGTGGACTTCTATAAGATGATTGGAGTGAGAAATTGAGTACATGTTTTTTTCTCCATGAAAATGATTTCAAATGGATAGCTCAATCAATCAAACGAATTTTTGGAAAAGAACCAGGAAAAATGTTCAACATCATGCATTTGGAGGGAAAAAAACTGAAAGTATTGTGGCATGAGGTGGTATTCAAAAATTTCACGCAACCTTTAGCAACCATAAAACAATTGAGATATGGCTATAAAACAGGTCAATCCTGCTGAATATGTACGAGTATATACTCGTATTAGGTCTTGTGAAACAAACTATTATCCTTGGGAACGTATGTAAATAAATTGTACTTATCTTCTTTTAGAAAATCCATCACTATGATATTAGAACAATTTATTCACTCAGCCACCCGAGAAAGTCGTTTTCGTCATAGCCGTGTTTTAGTTTCAGACCTACAAACAATATATTTGGGTAATACATTTTGCATTTTGACATTGTTAATAAAGTTTGGTGTCAGTATGCAACTTGGCACTCCATATTGAGATCAGAAGTTCTTTCATAGTAATTGATTATTTCTTGTAACCCGCAGATATTTTAGTTTTTGTGATTATGCGTTTTTTCTTTGTGAAACAATGGTAAATGGACTGTATCATTCAGCATACTCAATAGAAAAAGTGAATGAAACCATTTTCGTTTGATGCTTGGAGAAAAATAAATAATATTGTGAGTGATTGATAATTACATCGTAGACTACATAGAAGTCATTGTCCATATTTTTCAATCTGAAATAAAACTACCATCGTCAAAAACATTTGATATTTGAAAATAATTTTCTTTTTCAGGGTTATGAAGGATCGTTACTCAAAGTTACGAGTAAAAATGGCAAAACAGCATCGGTAAGTGAAATAATATACATTTTATACCATATTACGATAATAGAGTCTTCGGACCTGATTCAGAACTTTGGTAGAGACGTTAAAAATATTACTAAATAATAAATACTCTCAATCCAAAATGTAAAAATATAATACTGGCTGTCCAAGATACGGAGGGTCAGCATGGGAAAATCGGAACTGTAAGAGGTGCAAAGCCGATTAAAATAGAAAATGTAAACATTTTCTCCATGTTATAATTTTATAAGCCTATAGAATGTACTACAAAATTTATGTTACTATCAATATCGAGTGTGCTCAATAATTTCATGAAGTTTTTTATGTCCAATTTCCATGTTGGAGTTGTCTGAGAAAAAAAATTTCTATCACTTGAAGATCTACTAGGTTGGGTTACGTTCAGAATAAGTAGGTCATTCGTCTCTATAGTGCAACCCGCAAGGGTTTATTGGGGCTCACACCAATTCAAACCCTATGACTGGACAGGACAGAAACAGAATAACCCACGGGGTTATAATCTGTAAAGACCAATTCTCTCAATAAATTAAGGTATTGTGTGGTATGTCAGACGACAGAATAATTGTACCGTTTTTTTCAGTGATACCATTAACGCTGAACGACTATTGAATTTTTTTGATAATGAATTATGTGAGATCATCAAAAATCTACCCCTCGATGTGCGGCAAGAGATGTATTTTCAGCTAGACGGAGCTTCCATTCATAATTTTTGAATGGTAGAAAACGCCTATATGAACAGTGGCCTCCTCGCACTCTTGACATAATTCCAATGGATTGTAACTCCTGAGGTACGGTCAAGAATAAGTTTTACAAGTCTAGGCCACGAGTCACAAGAACTTTGTTACGGCAAGCCTCAAATAAGTATTCCAGAACTTAGGCGAGTTGCCAATGATAATAAAAAAAATAATTGAAAAAATGTATCAGAAATGGGGGTGGACCAGTTGAGAGAGACAATATTTGGAACTGATTTTCAATATTAGTTTTTATTTTATTTCCTGTTGAATTCCCTACATTGTCATTTAATTTCGGCCGATGTCTCTGTGGCTTTTTAGTAACTAATAATCAAACTTTTACTTTTTTCACTATGAATATTAGGTTTTTCATGCTCATTCCTACATTAAAACGAATATGTTAGTTTCGTAGCTTCTTATTCAGAACAATTAATCGAAAATCGTTGAATATGAAAACTACAAAAAACTTCAAAATTCGAATTTTGCATTAAAATTCGCTATATAGGGTCAAAATCGATTTCCAAGCAACGTTTTCAAATAACTTTTTTCGGTATCATCAACGCGAAGCAAAATTTGCCTTTTTCGCAGAACGCAGGAGGATGTCACTCGGGCTAAGTATTGCGAAAAATGCGTCCGATGTACCAAAAATAAAATATCTGCTTTCAAAAATTACCGGAATACAGAAGTGTCTTCATCTTAGGTGTTTCACACTGTACAACCAGTGGCGTAGATTTCTATTTGTGATAGGGTCACAGGTACTCAGGCAGTTTGATATATCTGTCCTAGTATCTGCACCAGAACCTGAAGGATATTTGATCAGGGAACCAACATCTACTTCTACTCCCACTACAGAAATTCGTTGAAAATGAAAAATCTCTTCACAGTGTTTCCATTACAACTGAAGAACCGTTTAGTACATTCCTATAATATCCAATATTTTCGGAAAATGCTCTCCAAGCGGAGCTCACTTACCTAAGATTCGTTAAAAAAATTAAAAAACTTTTTTTAACTGTTTTAGAAAAAACATTTCATGATAACTCACTCTCTCAACTCTTAACGTCTAATGGTAGTCTATGAGATACGCATTACAGAATGTAATGAAAGAAAGATAAAAATTGTTATTTTCATTAACTTACTGTTATTATCGATTACATATATAAATGGTTTTCACATTTTTCAGAAAATAAACTTTGGTCTTCATCAAGGCTGAAGTTTTGACATATTTTTCTTAATATATTGTTCATATGAAATGAATGATATCTCATATTTTCACCCCGAATATCACTAAACATGAAAGCAACGCTAAGAAAGGCGCTTTAATAACTCTGTTCTCCGAGGTAGGCCTCAAACTTTCAGGCACATCAATCAAACTCGCGTGCAATGAGAATTTTCTTCATTTCCCCCATTTCCAGTTCACACATCTCAATTTAGTGTTAAGATATACAGTGCGTCCACAAATGTCGCATAAATTCATTATCAGCATCTGAAAATTCTCGTAACAGATCGATTTTTGTTTGGCTTCACTGCCTTCCAAAATATTCATCAAATATACAGCATGTTCTACTTTTGAGTCATTATCGAGCTTCTCAAATAGAAAATCCTATTTGTCTTTTAATTTGTGGATTCATTTTGCTGAGCCGATTCCAGCAAAAATATGTTGCGTCAAAGTGGTACAGAGTAGGAAATAGTAGTAACAATTCAATTAGAAAGTAGTATGTTACTGTAATTTTCACAAAACAATTCATGAATGATGAAAGTAATAAAAATCATCACATGAAATATGTATGTTTAGGTAAATGTAATAATTAAACCATTTTCACAAACATTTTTTTATTATTAGATGCGTTGTGTAGCTTCCTCGGTACCAAAATGCATCTATAATTTAAATTGTACTAATTATTATCATTATTATCATAGTTTTATCCCAACAACAAGCCGTAGTTTAAAATACCTTGACACGAAATTGAATAGAACTGGTCGATACTTGATGAAAATCCATATTGAAAGTCATTCATACAGTTTTTCATATGATTTTCACTATAAAGGATTTTACAAAATCGCGACACGTGATTCGCTATGTTCCTCTTGAAGATGATCACTCGGTGATCGAAACACGTGTCGAGATGTCAAAATAACGGTTTGGTTTTGGGAGAAAACTCAAGTAATATTCATTACTACACCAAAGGTTCCAAACGGTGCATCACAAGTACATAATGACGGCCAGGTAAACGGAACTGAATCTGTATCGTAAGTACTTAACAAAAAGTAGGCTATCACAAGAAGATATTTGGTTTCTGAAGAACTGTAAAAGATATTGAGATCAATCTTCATCTTGAAGAAGATATCACTCGGTGATCGAAACACGTGTTGATGTGTTAAAATAACGGTTTGCTATCGGGATAAAACTCCAGCAATATTCCAAACAATGAATTACAAATGGATAGTGTTATTAATGTGCATCAAGTAACGGGTTAGTCCATTCATAAAATGTGGAAAATGTTCAAAGTATTCTCGTCTACCGCTCCACAGTGACTCTGTGTAAATTTAGTCCCTGACATTTTGTAGCAGGGCTAGTGTTATGTTCTGATCACAGATATTGCCAGGCCACGCATTATATACTATAGATTCTATTAAATGAAAGCTAGTAAACTAAGAGCAGGTGATCTAGTGGTCCATTCAACTGTTCTTTCGTCCTAGCCTTCGATTTGACAGTTTTTCTTCATAAGCACAGCTATACCAATTTTTGCGATCTGAAGTATTGGCTAACAGAATGTCATCAAAAACACTGCAACAGAAATTAATGTATTTCGTGAAAAGTCCAGGTAGAATGCTCCTATTGACATTTCATAAAAACATAGACTGATAATTATATTTTGCACAGCACCAGCTCACTCAAAAAGTCCTTTATATCGTATTTCAGCTTCCGGTATGGATTTGCATTGCATCGTCTTTTCTAAAAATGAATCGTTAACGATTAAATTGTTATTTCTATTTTTTTTATCCATCATATTTTTGCAGAATTCATTTCTTCGATCGAAGTGTTTTCACGGAAGAGACGTACTTTATAAATATGATATATATTTTACCTTTTCATAAATTTTAGATACTGAAGACTTTTAAAAGATTCCAAACCCCTACATAGTTTTTATACTTTGTGGCGTGAATTCTAAACTACCAACAAAAGTAAATTCGTTAAATATTTTTTGGAAGTGGAGGTCTACTTCTGAAAGATCGTAAAATGAGATGAAGATCTAGGTTGTCTGCTGATGGGATCTTAAAATACAGAAAGAAAAGCCATACGTCACTATAATTAGTTCTGAGTAGCAGCAGATGTTTTGATGTCAAAACGAGAATATCCACCAGGAAGTGTCCAAAAGGTACCCCTGACCTATCAGAGGTTTCGCGGAATGTAAATCCTTCAATCTTACGATGACACGTGAACATTATTTTAGAAAATATTACCTCAATTTCGAGACTGTTTTTACTTTTTTTGTCAGTGCCTCAATAGAGCCTTTTGTCAATTTTATTGTCCCACTAAACTTCTTACTGAAATTATGCAAAATCAATAATTTAAACCACCTTTCTAAGATGTCTTCTATTGTATTTTCTTCTTCCGAAGGAAGTAGCATTTTTTTTTATAAATTCACTTGGGCCTTCAACTATTTGTTGTCATTCACTACATTATGCATCAATTTAATAGAATCAACCCAGCATATAATCGTGTTCTTCAAACATATTAAGAAATCTGTCAACCAGAAAATATTAAATGCTCTGAATATTTGGACCTAGAATAAATATTCATTATTACGATATCATAAATTCTCGTGCATGACACTGATTACAGTCCAAACGTGATTTTTTCAAATATTTTCAAGGTGTTTGACCTTTTTTTACTGCAGATTGACCTTTATGCGTGACATGTAATTATGTAAAAATTATGGTATGGTATGGTACTATATCGAGACCTTATTTGCGGGGTTTATTAGATGTGATTATTAGCATTGTTAAGCTGGCATTTTTCTGTTATGGAATATACAATACATGGAATATGTGATGGATACTTGATGAAAATCCATAACTTATTCAAGACACACTTCATTGTGAGATTTTCACTGAACAGTTTTACAAAAACACAACATGTATTTCGCTATTCAATAGCTTCTTCAGAAGGGTCTATAATCAACGTATAAACAAGCCTTACGGACCTATTGTAGAGCGAAACATGTGTTGCGTTTTTAAAAAACTGTTAGGTGAACATCTCACAATGAAGTTTTTTTTAATACATACCATGCAAAGTTTCGAAATTCTCAAGGTAGATTGGTTTTTCTTCTAATATTCAATTCATATATATCACTCCTGATAAAAAAGTATCATGGAGACCAAATTTTGATAGATCTCAATTCAAAAAAGTGATATCAAAAATATTTTCAACCAAACTTGGGTTGTATTTTAGATTTACTTATATAGTTATTCATTACCATTTACTTGTATTGGTGATGAACAGATTCATTGAAAATGAAATTTTTGCGGAAGTTTTGAAATTCATGTTTGGCATCTAAATCTGAATAATCTGCGGTATCTCTTGCGTTTGTCTCTCATATGAAAGAGCCATCTAATAAGCGGATTAGTCTAACTATATGCTATAAAACTGATGCCGAAGGTTAAATACTACCTGAGTCCATATATGACTAACGGAGAATCTGCTAATACCACAGTACCAAGAGTATCCAAGTAGGAGCCACTATGGACAATACCTCCCATGATCGTGCAAAATAATGAACCAAATGAGAATCAAAAAGCGGATGGAGCAAAAATTAACACAGTGAGAAGCCGTGTCCCTGAGGTCTTCAAAGATATGGGAGAGTTTGATATTGTTATCGAACAAGTACCCTGGGTCTGCAGGGAGAAGTCCGAAAAGGGATAGTCTCAACACGTTCCACCAAGGAATGTAGAAAAACTAGCGAAGGCCTGCAGACTGATCGAAACACAACCCATACTGGGCTGCAGTTCAATATGGCAAACATCTCAGACATCTTAACTGTATATAAAAACATGTAAACCCACTACGAAAAAGAAAAGAGAAGTGATAGACATATCATTATAACTCCATATATAAGGAAGTTTGTTCGGATATTGTATATGTGTAACGAAAAAAGTTGTTTGATCATACCTCGATCATATATTATCAAAACCCACGGTATACAAGCTTAGAACTAAGAGTAGATGTCTTTTGAATTAAGAGATTCAATTTTACTATCAACTTATTGAAAATTAGTTTAAAATATATGTTTAGTGCCCTCATAATGGACGATTCTAAAACTTGTTATTTTTCAGAAAGTAGCTGATACTTTTGTTAGTTTATTCTAATTGAAGATTTTTGACGGATTGTTTGATTTTTGCTACTTTTTTATCATTTTACGATTGTATTCAAATAACATATATCGTGAAATTTTCACTTAACAGTTTTACAAAACCGCAACTCGTGCTTCGCTATACATAACTACCTCAAGTGCTTTTATACATACTGAATTATACTTAATTTGAACTTTATATGACAACATTTTGAGTCATTTTTGCTACTTTTTTATCATTTTACGATTGTATTCAAATAACATATATCGTGAAATTTTCACTTATCAGTTTTACAAAACCGCAACTCGTGCTTCGCTATACAATACTACCTCAAGTGCTTTTATACATACTGAATTATACTTAATTTGAACTTTATATGACAACATTTTGAGTCATGTGATATTCTACTTTGGATATGAATAATAATTTTACCACAGTTTAGGTAAAAACTAAGAAAATTTTACCGACTCATTAAATGTATATGTACAATTTCTGCTTTTTATAATAACAATGTCAATCATATGACCTTTAACCTATTTAATGACTAATAATTTGATCTGCATTCAGGTAAAAAGTCATTGAAAATTTAAGCATCATAAAAGAAAATTGCATCAACTCATTAAATGAAAATGTACTGAACTAACTACCAATCTCCACATTGAGATAGAGATTAAGGAAATTTACAGAATATCTCAGTTTTTGATTTCTCCAAAAGTTTGAAACATTTTTCTTTCAAATGTAATACTCCATCATCGTGATTAAACTCATGCCCCTCTTCCAAAAGAAGGTTTGCTAACGTGGAATTTGTCTTCACAGTCAAGAAACTGCTTATATGTTCTTTTATTCTTTGGAGAAAGCTTCTCTCCGTTTGGCCAATATAAAGTTTTGTGCAAAAACCACATGTCAACTTTCATACTTCTGATCTATCCGACACTGAAGTCATATATTCATTGTTTTTTATGAATATGGAGAAATTCAGTTTTCTGGATATTACTTTCTGACAATAAAATATTCAATAGTCTGTGAAAGGATAGGTACTATTGAAAGCTGGTGATAGGGATGTGTAGACACATAAGGATACACTTTACATATCATTGAAAATAATTCGGAGACATTGATGAGTTTGGGTGCTCTTTATAGAGATTCGGAGATAGAGATTAGAAATTGTAAACTACGAGTTTTTTGGTTCAAGACTCTTGATGAATTTCTATTTTTAATTTGTTCTAATGCATTGAAAGGTACATTCACATCCGTTATCTACTCTATAGGTATGCTAGTGTACTTTTTTGTCGTGAGGTATGTCTTTTTGTATTATGTATGAAAATACCTACTTAGTCGCCTTTGCCATCCAAATGCTCACTTATATTCCTGAAATGTGTATTTGTATCAGTGCGAGCAAATTCATAAAAAAATAATAATAATAATAATCTTCATTGAAATAGGAAACCTAATATACATATCTATGTGTGTAATAATAACACTAGCACAATGAAATATAAAAAAATGTGTAAAAAATTTTAAATTTAAACAATTTGAGATTTAAACTAGCATGTAGCCAGACAGTGAACATTACATATAAAAATTTCAGTATCATATGTTAGGTAACATTTGAATAGCTAATGAAATATAGGTACATATATACATTAAATTATTATTAAAACAATGATATTTGGTTTCATTACAGATACAAATACCCTAATGAACAATTGAAAACAATTGAAAAGTATAAATGAAAAAACAATAAATGTCCCAAATAATTTCTCATAACTATACAATTTTTATTCTATTACTTACCTTTTTTTTAATTCTTTAAGTGCTCTCTTAAAATCTTTTAAAATTGATATTTTTTTTCTTCAGGTAATTCATTGAATTCTTGGTACTTCCGAATGCCGGTCTGTTTATATGTATATTATTGGAATTTCTTGTATTAACAATAATTATGAATGTTTTCATTGAATTTGATGTAATCTTTAAAATATTCTGGTGCCATTCCATTCACAATTTTGTATACTAGAGTCATTGTAAAATAGTAGAGTCCACTTTCAACTGATAACCAATTCAAACGATCAAGCATACTTTTTATGGGAGTACGGCGATTTGTTTTCAATATTATTCTCATCCCTTGACATTTTGTAGCATATTTAATTTATTGAGGTTAAATAAAAATAATAATGACGCACAATAATCAAAGTGTGGTTGAATAATGGTATTGTAAACTGTTACTTTGGACTGCAATGACAAATTTTGTGCTATTCTACTGAAAAAATATAGTTTTTCGATATTTTCTTATGTATATATTCAGAGTGATTGTCAAAATTTAAAAAATTATCCAGTTGAAAACCAAGGTATTTGACTGATGACACAACTTCAATTTTTTCGTTATTGATATTGAGGTTAATACTATATTTATATTTCGTGGTGAATATCATTGATTTTGTTTTTGTTACGTTTAACTGCAATTTGTTAGTGCTTAAATACTCATTTACCGCTCCTAAAATCCTATCCATTTTATGAATAGCTCTATCTAAATTCATATCGCTACACATAAGCAACGTATCATCAGCAAATAGGTTTATGAACTCAGATTCAATAAAAAGTTCACTATCGTTCGAATATAAAACAAAAAGAAGTGGGTCCAGAACGCTACCTTGGGAAACACCTACATCAATGTCTTTTTCATTTGATAGTACATCTTTAAAACGGATTTTCTGTTTTCTATTGTTTAAATAATCACTGAACCATTCTAACACCTTTCCATCAATCCCATATTGAGCCAATTTCAACAACATAATTTCTCTATCAATTGTCTCAAAAGCTCTTTTCAAGTCTAAAAATACAGCAATAACATATTTCTGGTTATCCAAGTTAGTTTTTATATTACATATTGTGAGCTGTAATGTTGTTTCACATGAAAAGTTTTTACGGAAACCCGATTGATTATCTATCAATATTGAATTTTTAGTGAGGTGATGTAATAACTGAGCATATACAGCAACTTCCAGTATTAACGGGTCGAAATTCACTGGCTTTATTGGTGTTTGCTATTTTTGGAATAGGAATAACAGTACTGCTTTTCAATTTATATGGTATTTTTCCTGTATATAGAGATGTATTAATTGAGTTTAGAATAATATGACCGATGGTTTCGAAGACCTCTTCGATCATTTTACAGTTCAGCGTTTCATATATGGAGAATTTATTGTCTAGGTTACTAACTATTTTCCGCAAATCTATCATAGAGAGCATTTCGAAGTTTTCGAATTTACAATATAAATTATTGTTTACATTGTGCCAACTTTCAGTGATGCTAATACTTTGTATAATATCATTAATACTATGAACAAAATAATTATTAAAACCGCACGCTATTTCTATGTTACTCGTTTGATTCAGTCTCTTCAAAGTTCTCCACATTTCTTTGGGATTATGTCTGTATCTGTCAATATTGTCAAAATAATATATTTCTTTTTTTTTTGTTTTAAAAATATCCTCCTCACTTATCATTCTCCACCTGATAAGTTAGGAGGGTGGAAATACTATGACCTTATACGTACACTGAAATATCCCTTGTCTTTTTCAGCCTGTGGGGTTCGTGACTTTTAACACAAGGGCAGGAGCGGAAGCGGCTAAACAGGACTTGCAGGTGGGTATTTAGTCTTCAGAAGGCGGTGTAAGTACAGGGTGTAGCTGAAAGGCGAAGTTGAACATTTTTCAGTGACTTGCGATTCTTAATTGAAAATCGAAGAATTTTTCATTATACAGGGCTGCTGAAATTCGAGTCTATGCATGGGAATTTCGTAAACTCTAAGAGATAGTGAGACAGAAGAATGAAAAATATAAAAAATTTATTTTTTGCTTTACCTTCTTCATCTGAAAATCTGATTATATTTGCAATATGTACTTTTCATGAGGTTGAACTTATCGAACATTTATATAGGGAGTTGTCAACTTTGAAATTTAAAATACGGATATTTTTATAGCAGCTTTTTATTTGGCAAAGATCGTATAATATTGAAAAATTGATCACAATATTCTTGAGTTTTGTTATTTCATAATTATCATATTTTTCATCAAAATTCAATTTTATAATTTTTATATGGAAGCTGACCATCAAATAATTTCAAAGATGATAGTGGTCCAAGTCGGTGGTCAGATATAAACATTTTTTGAATATTATCTAATAGCTTATTAAAGTTTCTGTGACAAAGTTTTAACGGATTTTCGATATATACGTGAACGAAGAAGATACAGCAAAAAATAGAGTTTGACATGTTTTGCTTTTCCCGGAAACATTTTCAGGAACAAAAAAGCGAGAAAGAGAGATTTCTTGGTGCCATTCAGTAGTACTCGAAAAACATCACCTCTGCCACAATCTAATCAATCCACTCTCGATACAAATATGGGAATAGTATGAAATTAAATTGCATTCCTGTGGCAAAAAAGAAATCTAATTAAAAACATTGTTACCACTGGCGACAAGTAACAGTAGGTAAAGATTGTTCCGTAAACCACGAGTTTTTCCATCATTTCATTGTTCTGTCTTGTACCTAACAAAATCCATTGGTTCCAATAAGTTAATTTGAAGTTATGTTGAATATTTCCAAGATTCATCGTATTCCACGCAAATAGAAACTGAAACGAATACCCTGGATAAACTGTGCCTTTCTCGCTACACCCCTATTTATAGATTAAGGTATTATAATTCCATCTCCCCCTCTGTAACATACCCCTCGCCGACGCATGCACCTCCCCCGCACACCGTGTGTCACCACCCGCAGTTTACCTGCTTCTAGCAGCATTAGACGTACGTATTCCCCCAGGTACCAAGTGTCCCTTCATGTGTGATTCCCCTTTGCGTAGGGTTCCTCGACTCAAGAATGAGACGGCAGGCAGTCAGGTGTTGAAATATTCGAATTTCGGCCCTATATGCGGTTTGTAATTATTGGAGGAAGTGGAAACGGGGAGAAAATATATGTTTTCGTTGACTGTGGCAGGAATTAGTTCGTTAATACGGATTTGAAGGAGGTTTCTCCTCGAAATTATAGTCGCGTCAATGAATACGAAAATCAGACAATTTTCGGAAGTCTTCAGAAACCCTCCGAATTTAATGATGTTTTCCAACTTTTATTTTTTCAATGTCACTTGATATCACAAACGTTTTGAAGCAGGAACATATTATTTATAATGTGAAGACAATGTTTCTAGAGAAAAATGTTTGGAAAACATGTGCAGGTTATATCATTTCTATTAGATTTTAGTAGTTATATTTTGGCAAACTCATTGTTCAGGAGGTATCAAAAAATTTTTGTTCTATTGTCAGACTGACTAGTAAACTCATTTAATATATCATTCTGCTGCATTCTTTGTCGGAATTAACAGTCGGAGTTGTAAAGTGTTTTCAGAAATATGCCAAATTGACATACCAGAGGTAACTCCTCCACAGAGATTGTTATTATGTCCTATACTTATAAATGCGAAAGTCACTTACTTAACACCCACTCATTCATCTCTGTTTCTCCGTACTGGTAAGTCCTAGAAAGCTAAAATTTGATATATCTTAGATGCACACTAAGAAAGGATTTTAAAATATTCCAACTAGGGCGCCCCCATGTGGAGTAAAAGGGGCGCGTTTACATATGGAAATTACCTGTTCATCACTGTTTCTCCGTACCGCTATATTTTCGGAGGCTGAACTTTTGTATCTTGGTTAGGTTATTGTAGGTCCAAAGTGAGTGGGTCTATTTGACTCTCCACCGTTACCCGCAAGGGTTTATTGTGGCACACACCTATTCACACTCGACCAAATAAACCCAACTTCTTAACGAAGCCAATTAGTTTGTATGGTGAGTGGTCTTTGAGGTCAGATGGTAATAATACGGCTCTGCCGAACTCTTTAAACCTGATTTGGTCCCAGTCGGGGCAGGCACAGAGTATATGCTCTTCTATTTCATCGTTAATGAGGTAGTCGAATAGTCAAGTTGCAAGATTCTCACCTAAATACCCGCGACAACCTTCCCATCTGAGGGTTTTTGCGCGTCAGCTACGCCTGACGATGCCTTAGATTCAACCGTGCAGGGCTTTTTCGCGTCTGGTTGTGGTGAATCATCACTTGAGGGCAAACGATTGCTAACCTGCTCATGGGGGGTTGGTTCCCCCACCTGAGACAGATTCTGCGTACGCCGCTCAAGAATTTGGTACAAGACAATTTCATAAGGTATCCCGCTCTCGAGAAGAGATGACTCAGTCGTTTCCTGGCTGCACCACCAAACCTTTTTTTAGGTTAAGTTTTTGTATCAGGAGTTGGAGAGTTGAAAAGCTCTCGCTCCTGATCTAAATTTACAAGGAGATCAGTTGGAGTCGTAAGCTCGACATCCATCTCCCCTGTAGACTCAAAAACAATTTTTAAGTTTATTCTGTCCATAAAAATCCCACGAGTAGCTAGGGAAAGAAGGTCAATCACGGCAGAGCCCCGCATTACCGTGACAAGGCGATGCTACGACGAGAGGGGACCCGGTATCTCGAAGGTTCCGTTGAGACAGCTGATAGGCTCAGTGTCATTCATCCTCCTGGCACGGATACACACACCTTAGGATTAGGCCATCGTTGGGATGCCATTCAGTTAAGGAATAACAGAACCACAAGTGATTCTGGGGCTACGTGGAAGCAGGCATCCGATGGCCGGTTTGCTCAAGCCCCACATCCCAAGCCAATGCACTCGCCAAAAAAAAGTATGCACAGTGGTTCAGGCAGTGAAAGATGAACAAGGACAGCTAACCCGCCACGTTTGTATCTAAGTTTGTTTTATATTGTAGATGTGCAATGAGAAAGGATTTTTGAATATTCCAACTGGGGCCCCAGGGGCGGGGGAAAATCCGCGTCCGTAAAACAAAATTATCTTTCCATCATTATTTCACCATGCCTTTGAATTTTCAGCGGGTGAATTTATATTAGGTATCAGCATTGCACCCGTGCAATGCTGAGTCGCTAGTTCTATATACCTGCGCCTTAGTTCGCAAATAGTCTGACAATAATTCACTTCAATCTCTGCCATGAAGCACCTGTTGGTTTCGTCCTTCAGAGTGAAATGTTCCATTTGTTATACCTCTGGAGACACCTTACGCTCTTGTTATTTGAAGCTGATACTATGAAACGTTTGTATTGCAGTACTTGCCAATTTTCATCAGTTTTGAGACCATATTTTGAGAGAATACATTGAAAATACATTCAATATCTCCATTTTTCAAAATAATTCTTCTCTTGGTTCTTCAAGAAAGTTTCAGCTGCTGCATGTAATTTCAAATAATTTTGATAAAATATTTTCTTCTTTTTTATGAAAAATAGATTTCGTAGCATATTTAATGCATAAATGAAGAGAAGATGATTTATTGTACTCGTGATATAAAAATATTTCATTGACAGGATTTTGTTCGAATACATTTTTTGTAAGGTATTATTTTTGTTTGATCTGAAAGAGGCATTTTAAAAAGAGGATAATTTTAGGAAAAAAAGTTTTATGACTTTTACTTCTCCATCTTCATAAAAAATTGTAGAAAACTTTCAGAATGAGGAAGAAAACAATTAGGTTCAAAATGAACAAAGATTTCAGATCATGCATGAACACAAACTGAAGGAGAAAGCCCCGCTCGAAATAATTATTTCCAAATGAAATCGGTTTTTTCTATTCAGTTTGTACTCCAAAAATTCGTTATGAAATTGGTCATACATCATTTATAGGAACGCTACACAACATAATGTATAGAATAGTTGCGATATATGATTTAATTTACATAAAAAACTATCATCATCAATGGTGGACTTCGAATAAGATGCTTGTCTTATTACCTCATCAGCATATTCCTATATAATCAAGCTGAAGTACTCATTTCATTAATATTATCACGACTCCGTGTCACACACCAGACAAATACATATAACTCATGTCATGCGATGACAGTAGTTAAGATATTCATACACTAATTTCATATGATCCCAGACATAGAAATTTTGTTTATGTTGAAAGGGGTATATTTACAGGTGGCTCTTATATAAAGATAGAGAAGAGAAAACCAAAACACTTTTTTTAAATGAGTATTCTGGACACGTTTTTTCTGTAATTATAAGTTATAAATCTATCAACAAAACCACAATTCCTCATCAGTTTTGAATGGATTTTTTTATGAATACTGTAGAAAATTCCATAATTAACAAAAAGATAGTAACCCGTTTCTTCTTGTTATCGGCTGTTCTCAAAAGGCATTATCATATTTTTACAAAATGGATTCTAAATACGATCTTGTTAGCAGGATTGGCACATTCTCTCAGATTTCTATTTAATCGAATATTTGAACGCAAAAGGCCTCCAAATGATAGAATATCGCCACTAAAAAAATTAAGTCTGTTAAAAATACCTTCAAAAGGAGTTGAGAAGTTATATTGACAATGATGATAATAATAATCGTCTGTATCATTTCCAACTCATAATCAATAATAGAGCAAAAAAAGGAACAGATAATTTATTTTGAAAATAACGAGTGAAGTACAGTTCTCCCAGAAATGGATTTGTGATTCACCTCTTTTTCCACTCATCCTCAATAAATAAAACCACGTATGTCATACGTTGTATAAATTGTTCATTAAAAATTA